TGACTACCTTTTATACGTGCACTGAAATACTTACTTACAAGTATACATACATATATATATTTACAACAACACAACAAATTCAATCAACCAAATTAAGCAACCGGCTTAAATTTACTCACTAAACAATCTAGATTTGTTTATTTACACGCTTTCGGTTTATTGTGTAACATATTAATAGCACAAAAGCCAAACTAAAAGATTACAAAAAAAGGAATACTATGCGTTTTCAACACCACTCGTTTTAAAAATGATTTCCAATAATTAACAAAAAAGGCTTATAATTAAAATATTACAAAAAAGGAAAAACAAAAAAAAACAACATAAAAATAAAGTTTTGCTGTGATGTACGTTATATATATTTAATTACATGAATTGCAATATAAAAAGCATATAAAAATCGTAATTCCAAATTATTACAGCAAATTAGCAAAAAACAAAATAAAAAAAACAACATATTTTATGCATGAGAACTTTTCCAAAAGTATGTATTGTACGAGATATGTCTAGAATTGAACAATGAAATTTACGCATTTTAAATGTGACTTGTTTTTACATTTTTTGTAGGCAACAACAACAAGAATAAGAACAACAACAAACACTTTTCTAGTATTGTAAAATCAGTTAACCATAGCATATATGTAAACATATATATATTAAAGCAAGAGTCTTTCAATGACATTGTAATGTATGTTTATTGCAATAATTTCCGATTTTGTTTTTGTATTAACTCGCAAAATTTCAATAAAATTTAATGAACGTAATTATGTAAAAAAAATATGTTTCAGCACTTTTTTTGGGATTTTAATATTAATTCTTCCCTTTTATTAAAATAAGCTGCTCTTTGGGTATCTCTTTTTTAGGAAATTTCCCAACATTTGTCGACATTAAGTTTTACTTTGCCCAGCTACTACACAATAAATATTATATACACACAATCGTTTTTAAAACTCACTTTTTGTTTACTTTATCAGCTAATATTAAAAAAATGATCCACTATTGATTCAAATAACGTACTTATTTTGCAGCCCTGGCACTTGCTTGATTTGGAAACGCGACATGTGTCGTTGCGTTCAGTTATCGATAAAATATTAAATGGACACACTATCGATACTTTACCCCTCCAGCATTGAGCGAGATTTCGTGGTGAGCCTCGTGCGCCATTCGGTTAATCATGATGGAAAGTTCGAGGTGAGCGTACCTGTGCGCAAGAAAAACGAGAAGAGTTATTGATTAAAATTTCTGCTAAAAATTTAATAATATATGTAATTATATATTGTAAATGTCTATAATTTAAGTGATATAAATCAAATAATATGTGTAACGTTTAATATTTTAATACGCGCAAAAGTACAACGAGTGAACTAAACACACATCCACAAAGGAAAAAAACGGAGCAGCAACAACAAAAGTCAAGCATTTTTGTGTGTGTGGCCCCTATATCTATATCTATGTATATAGAAGAAAACAACAATTGTGAATGTTCGTGTACTTTTCCAAAACAAAACGTATGAAAAAAAATTGAAAAACGAAGCTGCATAACAGACGGTGTACATACAAGTTTAAAAAAATTAACAAAATCAGTTGAAAGTGTGATTTTTTTGAGCCTTTGTCTGTAAGTGAGGAGAAAGCTTTAAGCGGAGTTATAAATAAAAGAAAAAATACATAAATAAATACGAAACAAACAGCCCGTCGCCATTTTGAAAGTGATTTTACAATACATACACACATACGTATATAACACACACCAACACATAGAACACACATATAAACGCAAATACACACATAAAACCCCATCTAAAAAATCTACAACCCGATTTCCGTGCCGTTTTAATACAAAATTGTACAATTTTAATAATTAAAATCCGGCAGCAGTTAAAATAAAGGCAACTTTTAATAATTAAACAACCGTTGGTGTAACTGCATACGCGCAAAAAGCATTGCAATACTTCCTTTTGTCATAATCAGTATAACAGAAGTGGCAAAGAAAACCCCCAGCTGCAATCAATAAAGCAACGACACACATACAGCCGTCTTTTTCACTACCCCGCATCCAGAGCGTGTGTGCAAGCGAGATCGCGATAGCAGCAGCCAACAACAACGTGTGTGTGAAAAGGTTTACAACTGAAAAGTAAGTCGCAATTGTGTTGGTACATACATATATACTAGAGCTGTGCGTGATTGCATGCGTTAAAGTGGTGAAAAAATTTGCCGTTTTCATTATAATAATAACAATATAAGATACGAAAATATTTAGTTCATTAAAAAAGACAAGTATGAAAATAATAAATAATCCGTTAATGTTAGAAGAAATTTATATCCCAAATGTGAGTGGAGGTAACGGCGTCTATTGTCACGCGCTCATCTCTAATATATATGTTGATTCATTTATTCAGGTATAAGTCTAGCGAAAACACATGCATATAGTATATGCATGTGTATATATATGTGCGCACAAACAAACAATCGTTAGGTTTTAAGTCCACGGGGGGTTGAGCAAGGGCCTTTAAATATTTGTATAACAATAAAACGGCGCATAACAAACGCGAGAACAGCGACACAATTTCCTTATGTTGTTGTTGTTCAAAAAACATGTCAGCGGGCACAACAAATCTGGATTTAACGGGCTTTATCAGTTTTTCAGGCACAAGGGGACGTAGAGTCAGCCTGTGAACAGGTAGTACTCGTTATGTCCAATAGTACATTTTCACCGGCAATAAAACAAGGGTAGCTTCTTATTGAAAGCAGTCGTCTTACTGACTGAGCTATATAATTAAAAATAAATTATTTATTTGTATTAGTTTTATTACGCATACGATTTATTTACATATACAAGTAAAAAAATATGCAGCCTAACTTAAATACTTATATTTTTATTAGGAAAGGAATTTATCTGTATCTGTGAAAAGAAATTTTTAGAAATTTGTGATCTATCGTTCTCCAAAATTTTGTGCAACTATGTGTTTATTTGTTTGCTTCGAAAACCTTCAGAAATATTTTGTAGAATGCAAAAACTTTACAAAATCAGTATTCGTGACTACATAGTGAGTACAAAACGCACAGCTCTTCTCTAAGGTTGAATCAAAAGACTACTTCCCCATAAAAATCGTGTCCTAAAACATTAAACTTACCCACCCCATTTCTTTTGTAGACATTTATGTACATTGTGTATGAATGTGTAAAATAAAGCACATTTTCTCCCATTCGATTGTTGTTTACTAGTTTCGTTTTGCCTTTTCTTTATCTTCCCTTTTGTCATAGGACCGGCCCCAGCTTGGATGACAGCTACGACGATAAGCAAAGCGCAGCACCGATCGATACAGGCAAGAGGGAAACTCAGAGTTTGCGAAATTAGAGCTAAGAGATATCTTAACAAAACAAAACAAAAGAGATAAATCAACAGACTGATAAACAATATATAACGTTAAAAGTATAACTATATATTAAAGTAAATAAAACAGAGTTGTAAATAAAAACGAGACACAACCCGGACGCAGCTGAAAGAGAGCGCTACGCATAATCCTCGCTCGAAGTCGCACGTCGCATGCCTTTTGGAGAGCGAGAGAGACAAATACGGAGAGAGAGAGTGCTGGTGAGAACGTCACAGCGTTTGACCAAAGACACATGTCAGTGCGACAAGAACAACAACAATAGGAGCAGAATCAGCGTAGCGGCAGAAAAGCAATCAGCAGAAGCATTAAGAGCAGAAGAGAGCAGGCACCGAGTTTGTTTTGTTTATAACAAATATAAATTGATTGATTTTAAGTGCGTGTGATATTTAACGTTAAGCATTAATTTAGCAAATAACCAAAAACAAGAATACGAAAAGGCAGAAAGCAGAAATTTTAACAAGCCCAAGGATAATAGAGAGAGAGAGAGATTGGAGAGATAGAGGAAGCGAATGCGCTTTTGGTGCAGCTCAGCGAGAAGTAAAGAAGCAAAAGAACGAAACTTAAAAGAAGTATAAGCTCGAAAGGAGAAAGAACGAAATTACTATGACATACTCGCACAATAGCGTTAGAAATAACATCAAAATGACAACAGCATCAGCAACAAAGTCTATACGATTGAAAAAGGGCGCAGCAGGAGCAGGATCGGCAGGAGCAGCAGCGTCGGCAACAACAACACCAACTGCAACAACAACAAGCACGCCACCAACTGCAATTATACCCTCGGTAACTGCACATTCCAACAGTATTGCCAGCAGTACAAATTTCAACAACCAACACCACTTCCATCAACAACAATCAAACGCCTTAAGCACCACACCAACATCAACAACAGGAGTAACCAGTGTCTTCAACACGCCCAACAATAGGCAGCAACGTCAGCAGCAGCAGCCCCAATCGGCGCCTCCTCGCAGTCGCCAGCGACAATCGCCGCAGCAACTGCAGATGAGCGGCGGTGGCGGCGGTGCCTTCTTTTTCGCCAACAACTCAAGGCGCAGCACCGGGGGCGGATTCCACGGAGCCCGCTCCCCTCAATCGATGGTGCGTCAATCAATCACCGGCAACAATTTTGGGCGGAGGCTTTTCGCCTCCCACTGGTGTTTTTGGTTCAGCCGGCGGCTCAGCGCGCAAACAGCGCCGGAGCCCAACCACTTTTGGTGGCAAGGTGTCGCCACCACATACACTCGTACCCACCGCATTGACGCATTTCGCCGGTAGCAAGTGTTTCGATGCACCGGCGCCAACAGCATTGCCCAAGCCGCCCCAGCACTGGACTCTGTCCAAATCAGAGGAAAAGCAATTGGTGGCCAGCAGCGCTGGTCCGGCACTCCAGTGCCTGCTGCGTGGCGGCTCGATGTCGGCCCAGCAGTTGCAGAAACATCATCATCATCACCATCATGTGGTCATCAAGTCGTCGAAGCGCAATCTGCTCGATGACTTCGATACGCACAATTTAAAAATGTTGCTCAATGTGCAGTCGTAACCACCAAGGCAGCAGAAAACACAATGACAACATCTACAAAAAACAATAATCGAGGCGACAGATCAACAACAATGTGAAAATGGAGGACCCAGAACCCGTCAATGATTTGCAAAAAAAAAAAAAATATGAAAAAAACAAAAAAATGAAAAAGAACAAAACATAAAAAATGCAAAAACAAAAAAAGAAAAAAAAAACCAAAACCCAAAAAACAAAATATAAACTGAAAAATTGAACTTTTTTAAACTACAAACAAGAAAAGAGAAAAGAGAAAAGAAAGGAATACAAAAACAAAACACAATAACTTTAAAATGAGTAGTTTGTGATCTCATTTGTAAATCAATAAAGCAGACAAAATATTGAGAAGCTTAAACAAAAAACAAACCTAAAAAACAAAAAAGAACACTAAAATCTGAACAAGAACAAATGGCAAATATAACTGTCCTTACACACGACAATCATACACAACCACAGTTTCAAACAACACATCTTATGAAGAAAAAAAAAATTCAAATTCCAACAACAAACAACTAAAACTATTGAAGGCTTCAAAACCAGAACCAATCAGTCGTTCACTTCAAAACGCAAATTTTAAAAGCAGACCAACAAACAATTATCAAGAACTTGCTGCAACAAACCTACTACGAAGAAAGGCAAGGAGAAGAAAACAAGAAAAGAGAAAGAACAGCAAGAACAATTTGCAACGGACGCTTGGCTAGATAACAACAACAACAAGAACTATAACGGATACTTCACAACTGAACCTTGTTTTTAAACGTGATACGCAAATAGACTTGAAAATTAATTAATAAGTAAAAATTATAACTATAATATTTATGTAAAAAGAATTAATTATTTAAAAAATTGACGCTAGAAGCGCAACACATAATCACAGTTTTATGTTTATTTACGCGGACAAAATGAGTGCAACGTACCTAAAAACATAAAAACAAGAGAATAAAATATAAAATAAAATACCATAAAGAGAAAACTAAAACAAAAAGCTGAAGAGGCAGCAAACTTAATATATAAACCCCACCAAATCGCTTAAAAAGACTAATTAAAACGAACAGAAAAAGAAAGAGAAACAACAACAACAAGAACTCTTTAAAACACGACCAAACTCAACGAGACGAGGGCGTTGCCGTTGCCCATTGCCATGCCCACTTGCCAGCCGAATGGGCGCACAAATTTGATCCTGAGCAGCAGTAGCAGCGCAGCAGCAGAGCAACGCAAAATGCATAAAAACTTGCCCCATCATCTACTCAAAAAAACCACTACATGGCCGATCTATCTTAAGTCATTTGGAAAACCAACATTATACAAAAAAACAAAAACATACTTCCATTAATTTTAGTTAAAAGCCCTAGAGCTACAGCTATCAACTGAGTTGTTTTCTTATTTTTAATTTTATACTTTAATGTGTACCTATGCTATACACACATATCTCGCACAACCATACTACGTTTATACGATGCCGAAAATCCGTGAGTTGACTGCTATTTTAAAATATATCTTTTCTCCCATATGCATATGCCGATTTGTATATATCCTACCAATTTGAATGATGTCGAACTCTTGATTTTTAAAGGATATGCCTGAAAATCATGAGTTTTCGCTTTAAGATAATTACAATCTACGAATTAGTCGGCTCTTAAATAATTCTATTTCAGGGATATTCAAGCATCTTATAATCGTTGTATGGTATTGTAGATCGTATTATGTTTATACGAAGCTTGAATATCGATCAATTTTTCGCCTAAGCAATATATAAATTAGTAAATTTTTATACAGAAATTTGTAGTTATTGTGGCTCGGGAGTTTTAAAGCAACGCATAAACGTAGTAGTACCCGAGAGATACATGCGAACCAATGAGTTTTGATATGCATTTACACTGTATATCATAGTAATGGCTTTAAATATTTTTGAATTGTACATAGAAAGAGAACTTTTAAAAACTAATTATAAATTTCACAAACATTTTAAAACATGTATAGAATAAATTTTCCATAAATTGGGCGCATCATCTACACACACACACATACATAAGCGCATGTTTTCACCACCACAACATACACACTTCTCTGCATTGCTTATGTAACATAAATATATAAACACTATATATATAAATATATATATTTAAGACGAGACATATGCACAAATGAATTTGAATAAACAAATGGGCGCCAATTGAAAGAAACTGAGTTGCAATATCCAAAAGTTGCTAAAAAGAAAACAAACTACTTCTCTATTGTAAAGACAAACAAAAATAAATGATATGAAAAATTGTGGTGTAATTTAAAAGTTGTAATGTATGCAAAATTCGTTGATGCTCATAATTCTCATATAGATATGGAAAGAGGAGAGAAGAAAAGAGAGGAAAAGAACACTTAAAACCCAGTACCTTATTTTTCATAATTAGCATTATTATGTACCATTAATTGTTAATACCCATGAATTGTACGATATGTAAATTATTTAAGCTACCAATAACAACAATTACTATACAAATCCAAAGTTCTATTGTATTTTGCGTCATGATGAGTCATAATAACAACAACAACAACGACAACTGCTGTTGCCGAATTGAGTTTTGTAAGAAAATTGCGGGGATAGATGTGCAAGATATTTGGCCGATTGCGCAATATAAAACAACTATCTTTCGGATCTAGCCTCGCAACAACAACGCCCTTTAAGAGTGTTTGCCAAGTGAATTGGTCAAAAGTGATAAGCCAAAAAGTAAAAGAGAGAGAAGAGAGTAAATTGTATAAAACTAAGCACATTTTGTTTTTCGATATCAAGCAAAATTGTTTATTGTTTATGAATGCCTATTATTTCCTAAAAATTGATGATATATCATAGTTTTAAAAAAAAAACACACAAGTTGAAACAATGAATGAAAGAAAAAGAAGCCAAAAAAGTCAAGCACTGTTTTTTTTTTTTTTTGTTTTTTAAGCCTATGCTGATAAAAATGATGGTAGCTTTAAAGCTTGTGTCTTCAAGTTGACGCTTTCCTACTACAAACAAAACTACAAACATACTTCTTAGAGTATTTTAGAGATGCGCAGATTGGAGCAGTGCTCAATCAATCGATAGGAAATTTAAATTAGACACACATTTCCCAAACACTTGACACTTGTTGCGCAGAATTTTGCATTTTTTAAGCTGTAAGTTAACATTTGTTATACGCTGCGAGTCAATTTGAATGATTCATTCAAAGAGAACGAACTTAAGCTATTGAATTAAAAAAAAAAGAAAAACTAACACTAAAATCAAAGCCAAAACCAACCGAGGCGTATGCTCAAAACAATACTACTATACATTTTAATTGCATGTCTGGCCGGGCGATTGGCTCTTTGATCCCTTCTCAATTTTTCTGCACTGCCCAAGCAGCTTAAGCGAAAATTAATTTTAAATATATATTTTGGGCCGTTGCAAATTTAATAAAAACAAAAAACTTTGCCACACCAATCAGTACAAATTAATAATTTCCAAAATAAACATAAAAAAACTATGAAAAATGTTGGGTCAAGGACATCCTCGTTCAGAGCATGTAATTAAAATATTGAGACATACACAAATGCCAGCAAAAATTTTTCCTTTTCGTTTGTCTTTTTTTTATTTTGGCCATTTTATTTAACCAACAAGAAAAAACAAAAAATTGTATTTGCAGTTCGAATATTATTTTGTAACTATTTTCCTTTTAAGTAGTGTTGAGCGCATTAAGTGGATTGCGACTCATTCGTCATTTTATTGCTCCATTGATCTATTTACAATTTAATTTGCAATTTTTTTGTGATACTTTGCTATATATGTATTTAAATCTGGTATATAATATTTACAATACATATAAAAAACAAACAACATCTAAACAAAATAAACACAACTACACACACCCATACACAAAACAATTGAAACACACACACACCAACGAAATTGTAACAATTTGCTTTGCAAAAAGAAAATAAGCATCTGAAAATATTGAAAGCAATATTGAAATTGTACGAGTAATTGTGTTAAATCCAAGACCAAGTGTAATAATTTTTGATGAAAAAAAAAAACAAGAAAAAAGTCCACAACAACAATAGAAAAAAGCAACTAAATAAACAATTGTACACGGCTTTCGTAAAGAAATTTATAAAAGCTTTGTATAATTACCAAAAAAAAACATCCTACCTTTGTGTTTTCATTTGAATTTGTTTTCTTGGCGCACTCTTTTCAGTTTCAGTTTTTCAGCATTCCACATCCCTCCAATTGGCAAATAACAAGTTGGCACCAACATCTACATCTTTTTGTTTTGCTCACGATTGATAAACAAAATAAAATTTGGCCGAAAATATTAAGCAATAGGTAATAAAAAAGTAACGAACACGAAGAACCGCAGCAGGAAATGTTGCATAAACAACACACAAAATATAAATACAAATGCTTGTACGTGTAGACATCTATTAGAGTACTGCATGCATGAATTCGAAGTGGATTCATTCGAATCAAACAAAATAATATGACTTTCTTTGATGCGTTGGGAGAGCGAATTGAATTGTTTACTATGCAACGAATCTTGTGAATCATTGTGAAGCAGTTACGGAACAAATTATGAATGAAAATATATGTCTTGTATGCCACTACTCCAGCGATGCAAGTCAATTTAATAAAAATAATGGGTTCTAGAAGTTAGTTGGGGTATAATTGTTGCGGCATTTGATTGTGAATCTTGGAAATAATTCGATTTGAAAAATTCCACTCAAAATTATAGCAATTGATTAATGATCTATCGATTCCAGTTAATGGAATGTAAAATGTGCTCTGGAAGTCGTTTACATCATAAATTCAGCTGAAAGGCAAATTTAGCAAGGGGTCTTCAAAATAATATTTAAATCGAATGCCAGAAGCTAGGTTAGAAAACAATTCTATGCGATTCAGATGCGGCAGTAAATGGTTTCATTAAATAGTTCAAAGTGGATTTTATATATTGCATCGATTCTTCACTCTTTTTCGAGTTTTCATTGATATTAAATTAAATATTAAAAAATTGAATTTGAATTCAAGTTTGAGTTCCATGCCTGCAGACCTCTAATGATTATACAAAATTAAGTATATGCACAAATTTAAAAATA